CACTTGCCCCCCGGAAAGGAGGGGTGGTGTTAGTGAGGAGAGTGGGAGTGGGTGGGGGGGGGTGGTCAGGGGGTGCGCCGGGGGGGGGGAAAGACTGGGCCCAAGCAAGGTCTCCCGTTCTCCTACCTGCGCTTCTGGCTATGTCCAGTTGGCAGAAGGTGTTGGGGTAGGGTGGGGTGAGAGCTGGAAGGATTGATGCCCCCCTTACTCATACATCAACCCCCTCCCTCCTTCTGCTGTAACCCTCCTTTCTCCCCTTCCATGAACAAGAGGAATACTGTAGATGGAAAAATGCAGCCTCCGCCCCCCTTCCCTCCCTCCCCCCACACACCCACTCCTCTTACTTGCTCACTCGGCAGCTTTGTCTGCAAGGACGCCCCTTCCCCTCCCTTTGCACTGGTGCGCGTCAAATGGTCTCATCGACCCTGCTTCTTCAATGCAAGCTGTGGGGGGAGTAGTTGTGGTTTGAGTTTTATGAAGAATCAGCTGATCTGGCAGGGGCAAGAGATTAGCAGAGATGGTGCTGGTGCTGGAAAGTCCCATATAGTCTCTTATTTCCTTCCACCCAGTCTTTCCTTGCCAATGATAAAAACTTCACATTGGCAAGCCACAAGTGCAGTGAGTATCAAAGAACTAGAGTCCCAGCACAACTGCCACGATTTCCTCTGGGACCGCCCAAGGACTAAATGTGCAAAACAAAACCTGGCCAAATTAGAAGGGATTGGAAGATGATTAAAGCCCCATCAAGGGTGCAGAACTGAGACACCAGTCTAGGTAAGCTGGGAGAAAACAGACTCATGATGCTTTGGATCCAAATGAGCTCAGCAAGCTGATGCAGGAGTTTGATGCAGAAAATGTTTTCGGGGAATCCTACTTCCTCAGGAGAAAATTATATAAAATCTCTCGCTTCCAGTTCTTCATCAATTATTTATAAGCTGCCCAGGCTGCTGCAGGAGGGAGGACGAAAAGAGCCCACAAATTAACTCTAACCACAGCAGAGCTCCAGTGCAGCATTTAATGTCTTGCCAAGGCACAGCAACTGCATCACACCATGATTACTGGCTCCAAAACATTCAGAATTTGCTCCTTCTCCTATAAAGAAGGCTATGCCCGCTAAGCCATGATCCAGAAAGCATTCCCATGGGTAATTGAAACAAACAAGAAAGTGGCTTGGGAAACTCACTTAGAATGGAGATATGCAACCGGGTGTTAGATCCATTACATATTTTAACTAGATATGAAAGGTCCCAAGATAATATGATGATAAAAGGAGGTGCAAGAGAAGGCAGAAAGCAGGATACTTTTTTTTCACACTCAGTGATATAGAAATAATCTGACAATAAATAGACACAAATGTGGATTTTTCCCTTCAATTGTTTTACTAAAATCTTTTGCTGCTGAGACACAGATCCAGAAAGGGTGCACAGAAGAGGAAAAGATATGGGGGGGAGGGGCTTACGAGAGAAGGAACAGGGAGAGCGGATATAGATGGACACGGCTTCATTACATTTGTGTTAACAAAAAAAAAAAAAAAAAACCAAAAGGGGGGTTTTTTTAAAGTCAGGGGGTTTTTTTTTTTTAAAAATTAAAAAAAAAAAAAAACCAAAAGGGGGGTTTTTTTAAAGTCAGGGGGTTTTTTTTTTTTAAAAATTAAAAAAAAAAAAAAACCAAAAGGGGGGTTTTTTTAAAGTCAGGGGGTTTTTTTTTTTTAAAAATTAAAAAAAAAAAAAAACCAAAAGGGGGGTTTTTTTAAAGTCAGGGGGTTTTTTTTTTTTAAAAATTAAAAAAAAAAAAAAAAAAACACAAAGGAGGGTTATTTTAAATGTCAGGGGATTTTTTTTTTTAATATATATAATACAAAAAAGCGAGACTCTAACCCCAAACTGTGGGGGTTGCATGCAACAAAGGAGGTGTTCAGCAGGTGGGGCATCAATGCTTGGTGCGAAGGGCTGATGCACTTGGAACACGAATCACAAGAGAAGCTGAGGAAATGGAGCATTAAACAGACACCATGGAAGAATGAGGCGCTAGGGCAAGGCGGGGAATTCAGAGCAGATTCTCAGCACGGAAATGGAGAACACTCCACACTGAAGCCATGGAGAAATACAGCCCTTCTCCATCTCATCTCACTGCAGCCCCCGCAACCCCAACCATGAGCACCAGGCACCCATGATGCCCCTGAATCCTAACCTGCACCCCCTTCTAACTTCTCTGTAGTTCCCCAAGTTTTGTCAACCCCTCAACCAACAACCCATTATTCCTAACTCTGTACTCCCTCTCCTGCAATGTTGCTTATACTATGTCCCACAACTATCCAGTCTTCAATCCCCCTTGGTCTGTGGGCTGAGCTTACTAAGTCATTCTGTCTCATTGTCTCACTCCTTTTGTGTAGTTGATCTGGGGGCAATAGGGGGCACTGCTGGAATAAGCAAGAGATCTATTGTGGTAAAGATTATCGCTATTTGGCTTAGACCATGGACTACAGAAATGAGTGTATTTCCAGGACTGTTCTGAGGGCCACAAGTTAATAATAACAGAGTGAGGGAGTCAATAAAATGAGGGTGCTCTTGAAATGCACACAGTCCTTTCATGGCCCTCTGAACTAGAGCTGCCTCATTGGCTGAGCAGATGCTTTCCCAGCTCCACTATTTTATGAGCACAGGCAGGGGGAGAGAATGAATGAAACTGCCATTACATTAGAAACCCATATATGGCCACTGAATATCCATCTGGGCTTGAAGGCTCCAGCTGCCAGTGAGGGAGAGGGACGGGACTGGGAGGGTTGGCTTCTGTCTCCCCACTCCCAGAAATCACCAGGGCTGTGTGGGGAGGGCTTGGCTCACAACCGAAGCTCCCTCCATGGGCAGCACCGTGACGGCGGCAGGAGGTGGAGCCGAAACGGCTGCAGCGAGGGGGCAGACCTCACCCGTACCTGTGGAGAAAGAGAAGTAGAAAGTCAGAATGTTCACTTGCAAAACTCTTATTGTTAGCACAAGCTTTCAGCTTGCTTCCTACATCCTCTTATCACCTTAAACTAATTCTGGTTTAATCATCTGGTTTAATGAGGTAAAGAAGAGATGCAGCTGTCCCTTCTCCAAAATGCCCTATTTATCCACAGCCTGGCAAAATTTCTCCTCTCTAAAAAGCTGAACAGATTAAGTGTCTTAAGTCTGCATATACTAATTAAATAAGGTCAGGCTGGCACTAACTGTTAAGCTTCCTCCTGAAGACATTACAGAAACTGGGTTTATCACTTAAATGCCTGGATTATGAAAGTGTACAGTGCAATATAGAATAAAATGGATCTGTCCAGGATACATGATGCAAGCAACCATCTGTAAAGGCAAAAAGAAGCCAAAACACTTACCAGTGGATTTGTATCTGCTGGTAACATAAAGGTATTTATTGATATCCCCAACCCTCCTGTTTTTGTTTTAACATTAAAAACACACGAAAATCCCCTAGAAAAATATTCAAATAAATACAACATTCAGTGGATTGTATGTCTTTTTAAAAATTAAAGCTCACATCCTGGTTCTGTCCTTTTAAGATAAACCTGCAGGAAGATCAGTCAAATCACACTAGTCAGATACTGCTATATGCAGCACTTTAAACTGGCAAAGAGATTCTAAGTTAGGATGCAGCTGCCCCAGGGAGCTGGGATTCTCCCTTCTCTCACTGAAAATATAAGGACGCATGAATACCCTAGGGGACAGATGGGCCTCCCCTCCCCCTTCCCAGGACAGAAGGAAGCGGCTCTTGCCTGGTGGCCCGGCCAGTGTTTCACCGCAGCGGTTGGCCCTCAGTGGCCGCGGCCCCTTCTCCTGCGTGCGTCTGCAGATGCCCGTTGAGCTGAGCTGGGGTCTTGCAGTGCACGCCACACAGCTTGCAAAGGAAACGCTCCAGCCGCGGGGCGGCTAGTCCATGGTCCTTGACCGCGTGGACCCTGAGGTAGGCCGCTGTGGTGAACCCTACGGGAGGGGGAGAAGGACAAAAACCAGCCAGGTCAGTGTCCGGCCTAGTGAAAGCGTTAACCCGGTGTCCTGCAGTGCTTGGCTGTGCTTCATCCTAGAGGCGGCTGCGTCTTGAAATCTAGTGAAGGATCTACTGCAACAAGCTTCCCTAATTTTGGAGACAGCTTCTCCATCCCAAAGACAGCTGTTTCTTGCCACCAAGCAAGCTATCACTGTACAAACAGCACATCCCACCCTAGGGGCAGCTGCATCTTGGTACTAAGGAAATAACCTAACCCTCTTAACATAAAAACATCAGAACCTACAACAGAGACATTTTGATAAGAGAAAGTCAGTGGAATCCCCCATCCCCCCCAAGAGATTTATAACATGGTATTTAATTCACTATAAGCTTCAGAGCAAAAATGGAACCAAAAATAGTAAACTGCTACTTTATATTTCTGAGATTCCAGATATATCCGCATATATATTATTAATATATGGATAATGCACATTAACAAAAAATGTAATCCAGGAATACATTAAAAGCACAGTTAAACTTTTAAAAATCCCACTGTATATTTTTACCGATTTTAGCTACTTGCACATCATCCAATAATTTTGGTATTAAGGCTATTACGTTTTCTGTCAAGACTAAGCGGGATACTGATATTTCAGATGGATAAGGTTGGAACAGACACACCCACTGCAGACATTAGGGAATCCCCTTGTAATCATTCTTAAAATTATTTCTTGTACATTTCTATCAATTCATTGGATTATATCCATACAAAAGATAAGCATAATCTTTCACTTATACTGCATACTATAAGTCACTTCAATGTCCTGCAAAATGAAACTAAGGAAATGCTTTGACATATAAATGGGAGAATGAAATATTAGGAGCCATTTGCTAATCAAAAGATAAAATGGGGAGCTCGATCAACCCTTGTATACCAAAAGAAAAAAAAAAAGCTTTAATTTCAGTTATCCACACTGTATTTCCAAAGCATATTATAGACAACTGTATCAGGCCTCACCTGCATTTTTAAACAATTGCTCATGGAGAGCAAATTTTGTTCCATATTTAAAAGATTTTAGTTTTATTTAAATTAAGCTTTTTTTCAACACAGGATTTACCAAGAAAACTCTCCCCCTCCATAAGGCCTCAGGAAGTCACTATACAAAGCTGTTTAACTGTATTCACGTTGGTGGGAACTACATAGCTTATTTGAACGTTTTTGGAAAATTAGTAATATCCAGACAGGCCAGAAACCAAGAGACCATGAGTTCTAGTCCCACATTAGGCATGAAGCCAGCTGGCTGACCTCGGGCTGGTCACTCTCCCTCTGCTCTAGGAAGAAGGCAATGGCAAGCCACTAATGGCAATGGCTTGTTCATGCAGTTGCCAGCAATCAACATTGACTTGAAGGCACCCCGCAAAAAAAAGTGCATTATCCAGAACAGAGATTAAAATGGGGGCAGGTAGCACATAGAAACTAAGTTCGACTCAAATTTACCTTTGAACAGATTAGTGAAGAATGAGAGATTAATGACTGAGATGCTCCTCAGGGAAAGATTGTAAGAGAAAAATTTAAGAAAGTAAATTAATTTACCTGGGATTAAGTTCCAATGATACTGAATGGAACCTAATTCTAAAAAAACTTGCAGAGATTCATATACAGGGCCTGCTGGCAAACTTCAAAAGCAAGACTAATATTTATATCTATAGTTACATTCAAATGTTATTCCATCTGAGCCCTGTCCTCTTACCTTTGTTGCACAGTTCACAGACGTGATTCGGCCCTTGGCTGTGTACTTTCATGTGGTCCGTGATATAGGCAGCACTCAGCATTTTTCCACACACATGACATGGCACCTTTTCCTCATGACGGACTGTGTGAGCACGTAGTCGATCCTTAGTGGCAAAAGCTGCTTCACAAGTCTGCAAAAATAGGAGCAAAGGAATCATATGAATGAATATTGTATCCATTGGTCCATCACCTAAGGCATGTAACAGATAAAGACTAAAGTGCGCATCAGGTTTCCTTAATGTACAGGTTATCTCAATTTTGTTCCCTCTTGCATCAGGAAGACTGCCATGAACACTTGAGCATAAATCAGTACAGCAATGTTATCAATGGGAAAAAATACCTCACATTTGAAGGGTCTCTCTGTTGAGTGGACTTGTCGTACGTGGCTGTTCAAATGATCTGGCCTGTGGGAGGAAAGGAAATAAGAAAGATGAAGTGTGATTCACTTATTCTCTAAATGGGGTTGGGCTGATTTTACTTATCCCCTAAAACAAAACTGTGTTGAGGAATCTGATAGTTTGTGATTGAAAGAAGTCTGGAGTAACAGTGTAGTAGATCTTTCTAGAACTAGGACACTTTTTTTTTTTTAAACTGGGAAGGATCACCTACACTTAATAGCTGCAAAAGCAGCAGACATACAATAGGAATAGCCTTCAGAACTTTGGTTCCACTTCTGAATATCTTTAAAAGATGTAAGAACACAACTCTAATTCTCATATGCACAATACTTCAAACTACTACTAATACAGAATACGTTTGGCAATTTAAAGAATTAACTAATGAGAATTTAGATGATTACCTGCTGAACAATTCCTAAGGAATTAATCCACTAAATACCTGATTAATCAATAATAGTTGCAAGTGGATACTAAATAAGTCTCGATGACAGAACAGAGCAGAATAAACCTATTGGACTTATGGAGAACCCATATGGAACAAGGAGTCTGGAAACTATAATCTTAGAACTGAGGGACGTTATAGTTTTTGTGTGTCCAAAAGTTTACTATTAAAAAATGAGAATGATTAAATACACCTAGTTTACCTTGAACTAATTTCTGTAAGGAGTAGGGATTTTGTCTGTTTCCATATGTTTCTAGCATTCATAGTGATGAGAACAATTTGTAACTAGATTCAAGTGGTGCCTACTGTAAGTGTTAAATAGAAATGTGCAGAACGGATTCTCTGTAGACAGCTGTAGGTCCTCTATGTCTTATGCAATTCCTTTTGCTTCAGACTATACTCATATTTTGAATACAGGTGGTTCTTGTTTAATGACTGTCTCATTTAGCAACCATTTGCAGTTATGATGGCGATGAAAAAGTAATTTTTACGACCAGTCCTCGCATTTATGACCTTCGTAGGTCTGTAAAGCAAAGGAAAACTGAAGTAAGATTATAGGCACAGCTGCGGTTTCAATTAACGACCGCTTCCCTTAACCAAGTTGCCGCTCCCAATTGTGGTTGCTAAACAAGGACTACCTGTAACTGATTTAACAAACCATTCTAAACCAAAGGTACCAGACTGCATTTTTAATGAAGGTTTTTAATTGATTATTGTTGTAAATTAGAAGTTTGAAAACAGTAAAGATCTCTTATATTTTTGAATCCAAAAGAACTGATTTTTATAAAACAAACTACAGGTTATCTCAATTGTTCTCATTTTATAAGGAGCTTTCCCTAGGAACTTTCAAAGTAAAATGTAATAATTGGCCAACTTGGCAATTTATTTGGCATTCAAAATTATGACTGCTTAGCATTTGCAGAACATGAATATATATGTCTTAAGACATTATTAAAATGTCTTATAGTTAAAAAGCTAGCATACAGCCCCCAGTTTGGGGGAGGTGAAGTGAGGGCAGGTATAATAAACATTCAGAAACCAAGGGAGATTCTTGACCACGAGCAACCTTTTTGATTACTATTATCCCATGTTTCCCTTGCCTTCCATGTAACAAGGTGTAACTTTTATTCAGAATTGTCTTCTTCCCAAAACAGCCACAGAAATTTAATATCCATACTAGTGTGCATGTAAAAACAACATAACTGTAGCTTTGCTCACTAAGATTATATCAGTTGGAATAATTTTTCCTGCGTGAGTATATTTTAATTAAACATTTATGGGAATGTCTGAAAATCAGCAACACAGTAGATTTCTGCATTTCTAAAGCAAAATGCAAATCTCTATCCTTTGGAACTTGCCTTTAGGGCAAGTATGGAAAAAGTGCAGTTCATGAACCATATGCATCTCATCAGCACGTTTTGTGGCCTCCAGAGTACACAGGACCAAAACTTGACTTCTTAGGTATGTCTTGAAGTGATATTTTGGGGGCAAAATCTTAAGCCTCTTAAAAATGTTAAATTTCCCCTTCCCTGCTTGGGTCCATTTTGAATCCTGGTCTTCCCTGCTTTTGTAGTACCACCTTTGAACTGAAGGAAGTTATGCATTGTGAATCTAGGGCTAGCTACTACTCCAGATTTATTTTCCACTTCTTCTCATGTCAGTGTTATGTGGTTTCTTTCTTTTATAATCTGTTTCCTAAATTAAGCAGTTTCACTATTTTAGTCCAAGGGATTCCAGACTCTTGATTGGTTCTCTTATTTCTTCTGGGCAGGTATTTGTTGAAATATCCTGGAGTGCCGAAAGTATTTTGCAGTAATCAAAACTTTTAACCACAGTACATTGACAAATATTTATAAGCTGGTTGCCATTACAGTACCACAATATCATTACTTGATACTTCTGCAAGGTTTTAGTTCTGAAAATGTGGTATTTCCTTTCCCCACAAGCTGACCTCATTGTTGCTTGATCCAAGAATATTTCCTAATATGTAAAAATCACAGAGCCCAGGATCTTCTCAGACTGTACCATTTTGAGCTAAATGTGAGGCATTCCATGCTAACATGCAATTAAGAGTTAAAAACAAAGGTTTCCCAAACGTAGTATGCCAGTAATTACAAGTTTTAAATTGTTCTTCCCCTCCACATGACTTTGTCTTAGCATAGGCTACTTCTTTATATGCAGAAATGCTAAAACTTAGAAAATCTCACCTACTACCTAAAGGGCATCTTTTTAGAAAAACTAAGACTTAAGTTGTTTCAAACTGTGTAAGACTGCTGAGGTAACTTCATAGATAATATGAAAATGAGTGTGCATTGGAATGACTTTAAATTGCTTCTCCCAATTTTTTTTTCTTTTAATTCACTAGATCTTTTATATTTCCTGAGGTTCCAAACTTAATTCTTATAGCTTGCCAAGATATCTCAATTCACCTTTGGTATCGGGTGCACATAATCAGAAAACTGCCTCACAGGTTCTTTGACATCAGGATCCAACAGAACTATGGCAAGAATTAGGAAGCTTTTAAGTTGGGGTTATATACTGTCACTTGATAGCCACACCAAGGAGAAATATGTGCTTTCACCTGTTCTCTCTCTCTCTCAGCTGGAATCTATGCAGAAGAAATGAGGAAGTTGTTGCTAAGATTAAGATTAATGATGAAAGGACAGGGCATATTTCCTAAGGATTTGATTATTATGGAGACCTTTTATAGAACTATGGTCTACGTGTCCCTTAGAATATTATGTCAAAGTAACTGAGAGAAATCTGCGGAAGTTACAAAAGGAGGAGGGCCCAATCTGGCTCAGAGACTTCCCTAGATATGATTTGGTAACTTGCACACTTATATTATTATGCTTTCCTAACTCAAACTAGTTTGGTATGTTGTATGTGTATCTTAGTCTTTACCAAAAAGGGGAAATATTTTGCTCAAACATCAAAGTCCTCATGTAAGCCCTTCAACAATTCCCATATGAACTGCATCCTCCCTGAACCCTCAACTCCCTCATACCGAGAGAAACTCTTCCCACAGTGGCTGCAGATGTACGGCTTGTGCACAGCACCATCATGTGAACGGACATGATAGCTCATGCGGTCCTTCCGCTTGAACCGTTGCTGGCAGACAGGACATTGGTAGGGCTTCTCATCTGAATGCGACAACTTATGCCGATTGAGATGGTAGACATCCCGGAAGGCTTTCCCACACATCTCACAAGCATGGTTCTTCCGGATACGTTTGCCTGATGCTGTAGTGGTCACTAGGCCTGCACCTGACCCTGCTGTGTTTCCAGCACCCTCAGCAGGGGCAGGTGTTGCTGGGGCTGTACCACCGATGGCAGAAACACTAAGCAAGCTGAGGGGAACCATAGTGGGCATCTTCATGGTTGTGGGTCCAGCGCGAGAAGCTTTTGCTCCTGTGTGTATAGCTTCATGGCGCCGCAGATTGTAGCCATTCTTGAATTCTTTAGCACACAGGGAGCAGATGTAGGGCCCTTTACTCTTCGGTTTCTTCTGGGCCTCAGCTGCCTGTGGGGTGGCAGGAGCTGCCTGTGGGGTAGGGGCTTGCGTGGTTTGAGTGGGTGGTACTACCTGCCCACTCCCACCTTCAGAGGCAGAAGGTTGCTGCTGTTTCAAGGCAGCTGTATCTACTGTGGAAGCAGCTGGTGCAGAAGCAGTGGCAGCAGCAACCACAGCAGCAGCAGCTGCTGTTTCCTGTGCTGCAGCCAAAACAGGCAGGAGGTCCACTTGGAGGGACTCAGCAGGGGTAGCTGTCTGTTGGGGAGGAGCAGTTGTGGTGGCAGTCTGAAGAAAAAGAGATTGTATAATTAACATAGTGATGAACAATCAAGCCTAATACCCTATAGAAATCTAGCAACTTAAATACAAAGATTAGTAAAATTCTTACTTCAAAAGCAAGCATAGTTTTTCCTAGCAAAAACCCCCAGAGCTGGATTAATCAATATGCAGCATATGCTACAAAACAGAATATAAACAAATTCTCAGCTTTTAATATAATACTTGACGGTTCCTCTATGTGGAGAATTTCCCTTTTCTGCTCCCAGCATGTCTTACAATGCCTCACTACTGAGACTAAAATGGTTTTTTTACTGCACAATAGATACACATGGTATGTGTATTTAAAACTGGTGGTTTATGATTATAAGAAACAAAATCAACGTGTGCAATATCCATGGAAGAGTAATAGAAAAATATCTGGCTTTTGCCTATGGCAGTGCAAAAGAGGGAGTAATTCCATAGACAAGAGGAATGATATTGTAGTATGTTGAGGACTATCCCATTTCTGTTTTCTAGAGAATGTCTTTCTCCACACAAAACTGCAGTGATCAGTTTCAGTGTGTGCACGAACAGGAAATAAATAGGAAAATCCTCTCTGCATTGTTGATTCTGCTTGAGGTTCAACTAGAAAAATAATCCATATTGTGGCACAAGCCCTCTACTGTGATCTAGACTCAAGGGTATGTATCTATGCACATGTCTGAGTGATGCATTATATACTTTAATACCTGGAAGGCAGAACCATGTTGTTTTCCCTATGGTTTTCTCCATCAGGAGAAGATATCCAGTACTATTAGAGATTAAGCTCATGTAGTAGTATTGTCTAGAAACTTTCATGCTTTTGACTAGGATTCAAGTTGAACTTATCAATATTACTCTTACCAAATAGTTGGGAATTTCTATGTACTGTACTGCAAAGTGAAAATTTAGGTATCCTTGAGTTATAAAAAAAAAAAAATCTGTAGCAGTTTATTTTTATATTCAAGTAATGCATACCACTAGCCTTAGGGTCCTAGAGGAATCACTTTAATTCCACCTTAATGTTCTAAATGCTGCAGAACTGATTATTCACACTGATAGAGAGCTTATTTTCAGTTTTCTAAGACAGACCTGCTTATAATTTATCCTGAAGAATGTATTACAGTAATATTGAATTTAAATATTTTAAATGATACTCAACAGAAAGTTATCTCCTCTCTTATAGCACATGATATAGTTTTCTTAGTGTAAAACTATAATTATGCTCTCAAGTCTATGCTGCTGTTAAATAGGTTTCTGAGTCAGTTTCCAAAAATATTTTAAAATTATACTGATCTTGAAAATGCTTCCATAAAAATGACTACCCTTTTGCTCAAACATGCTTGCTTTCATTATTTCAGGCACATTTCATAGGCAAAATGAGTAAGGAAAGGCCAACCCTCTTCCTCAGAGCACTAGATGATCAGCTGTTACAAGGTAGATCTATAGAACCCACCAAGGAAAAATTTAGCTGCATTTTAAAAGGTATGGTTATCCTGAACCATGCATTTCTATATGTCTACCAAATTTCTCCCTAGTTGCCCAGTAAAGGTTGATTGCTAGGTTTCAGAAATCAAATATTTCAAACAATTAATTTGAAACAATTTAGAAATTAATTCTAACAAAAACTTGTAAACTGTTAATGTGGTCATATTTAGGCATTTTATTTTGCCTTTCATACTTACAAAAGAAGTGCATCTTCACTCCACAAGGTATAAACTAGAACTAATTATGTTCTGCATATTATCTATACTGCTGATTTAAATGAAGGGCAGAAGTAGGCTCCTGGCAACACAAGGTATGGTATAAGTGATAGTGATACTGCCATACCTATCTGAAAGACAGGTCCTCAGTATTGTAGTGATTGCTCCAACCACTCAACAGAAAGCATGGAACAGGAACTACCATATAATTTTAACTTCTCTAAGACAAATATAGAGGGATTGTACATATAACCTTGTGAAAAAATAGAGAAAAATGCTGTTTGTTAAATAATGGAGATTTAGATACAAATTTTTGCTCAGTGATATAATAATCAATGTAAATGTCCAGATCAGACATTTGTTCATAACTTTGAACATACCCTATTAATTTTACTTGGGAATAAATCCCAGTAAGTTCAGCAGGATATAGTCAAGATGAAACATGCAAAGAATTGCAGCTATTATTTGTCATTAAAATGATATAAGTAACATACTTTACATGAAAAAAAATGGCTATAAAATACTACATAATCTTTGACTCAGAATTATTAACAAGCAGGTTTTAGTGCTTTTTAATGAAAAATTATATTTACATATACTCTTTAAAAAGCAACAAAGCAATTTCTTGACTAGTATCTGCCAATCTCACTTGGCTCTCTGCCCATGACAAGAGGTTGGCAAAACTCCGGTGAGATAAACAATCCTAAGTCTTCCTCTCAAGACTATAGCTGTAACAAGGGAAAAATAATTCCCTCCACAGTCCCCAACATGGGTGAAAACTGCTATTTGTTCTTGCTGGGTGCAAACAAAATTCCAAAGCAATCAAGTCTCAAACTGAAGAGCGAAGGTACACAGACTTGACTTGCCCCTAACAAAATTTGGCACCTCAACTGCAGAGTCAGAGACAGCAACCTGTTTTTGATGTTTACTCTAAGCAGAAGAGGCATGGATGTTTATCTTCATGCCTGCTTGGCAACTGAAACTCTAATTGACTGATAGCCTTGCATGATGCAGCTATTCCAGATGTGTCGTGTTTTTGGACACATCCCAAGCCAAGTTTGGATAGTAAGAATATATAGGCATTTTTTTCTAGGGCTGAGCAACACTCCTTCCTCTGTCAGACATTTGTCAGCATCAAGCTTTTTGCACCTTCCAGAAATACAGTAATGTTTTTGTTCAGATTGGCTTTTTTCGTTAGTAATCATGGGGAAATCTCAGGGTGCAGTTCTACTGGGAGTTAAGCCCCACTGAAAATTTCAGTCTTCACTTTAAAAAACAGAACTGGTCCAAAACCATGCTACAAACTTTAGTAGTCTTGGCCAATTCATTATCTCAGAGCCAATACTATAAAAATGAAAGTAACTTCAAATAATGACTACATTACTGTAAAACTCATTTATAGCAATAGCAACAACTTTTAATAAAAGTCTTGCAAAGGGTGCAATTACTTTTGATATACAAAAAAAAATCTAATCTACAGCAGTGAGACAGTTGCTTCTAGCAATTGTTTTCAAAAGAAGCACTAGATCTTCATTTATTGCCTAAATAGCTCACCTGGAAGGGACTTTGACTACAGCCCTGAGCAGCAAAAAACCTTGACTGGATTTCAGTCCCAACCTGCAGAGGATTCTGAGTATGACTCTGCTAAAGAAACAAAAGAAAGGAGATCAGGGAACTTTAGTAGAGAAAGGATTCTTAACAACCCTAAAAAACCTGTGACAACACCAAGGCAAGTGCAAGGGTTAAATTCAAAAACCAATACAGAAATAGTTTAGTGATTCCACAGGAAGTGAAAGCTGATTTAAACTGAGAGGTTCATTACAGAAAATAGAATACATTAAACTAGATAGCAGCACTACTCTTAAAGAGAAAGGATAAAATATAAATGCATTTATAACTGCTGTAAAGAAGACTGGAAGCCACTTCTTTATATCTTTTTTTCTTTTTCTTTCCTTGTCTTTTTTCTTTCATTTCTTTTCTATTATTACTTTTATTTTTCTTTCATTTTTCTTTATATTTGTATTGTTTTTACCTTGTAAAAACGTCTTTAATAAAAATTAATTTAAAAAACAGCAGCATTGAATTTTTGGATGGAGAAGAAGCTCAAACTTTTCTCCATCTGAACTACATAATTTTAAACACTGTATGCCAGTTTGGGCAATTTATGAGTACATTGGGCAATTGAGTTAGAAATGAAAAAATAGCAGAAAAGAAAAAGAATTTATAACAGCACTTTTATTGAAGTACAGCAGTTAGCATTCAAAACCAAACTACATGAAACAGCATGATATCCAAGCAGATACTTGACTATGTTGGTGGCCAAAATGAATTGTGATTCTATGGACAATAATACAAGACAGAAAGAAAAGGTACTATGAAAATTTTCTGTAAGGAGAGCGAGCAGAAAACATCACAAGTAGCAACAGATAAAGGCAGTTGCTGTGCGAAATGTGTCATATGTTTCTGGAAAGTAGAATAAGGCTATGATTAGGGAGCTGGGGGGGTAAAGAAAAAGCTGCAAATGAAGTTAAGAGTGTAGTATCTGAAACTTAACAAGATAGATAATTTAAAGGAGGATCATTTAGAGGTGGTTTGAAAAATGAAAGGTGGCCTATCTGAAAAAAAGAAGGCCTAGGTTGTCTTCTGCAAAGAGAAATTCCTGATCAGAAAGAGCAAGCACTGTAGAGAAATATAGCACTCATACTCAGTGAAAGATTAAGGGCAGCAAACAACAGGAAGGGGCTAGTCTTTGGATAAACACTCAAAACAGCTGGAGGATAAGACTGCAGGTTCAAAGAGAGTTAAAAATGGGAGCAGATTAAGACAAATGGTTAAATGGGGTGGGGAAATGACAACATGCTGAAGCAAACACAAGCAACTAACATGGGGCAGGACTTAGCCACACACACATTCCCCCCCCCAATGTTGGAAAGTAAATGAATGGAGGTGATGCGCCTCTTATTAGGTACATCTACAGCTGTTTATATAATCTTAACTATTTGTTGGCAAGGTAGAAATAATCTGGGATTAACATATATGTTTGAAATGAAACAGGTGGAGAATGGCTTGCAGATTTAAATAATTAAAAGGGGAAGCAAATTAAGACAAGTAACTCAATGGGGTGGGGAAAGGACAGCATGTTGAAGCAAGTACAAGGCAACTCACATGGGGTGGGGTTTGGCCACACACACCAATTCACCAAAAATGTTGGAAAGTAACTAAATGGAGTCAATATGCCTGTTACTAGTTGTGTCTACAGCTGTCTATTATTTGTAGGTCAGATGGAAGGATTTGGCATTTTTCTGCATTATCCTATGGCAGGAGACCACCTATCTCTAAGAGTTCATACAAAACAGATAGAGAGGAAACAGGTGGAAAATTCACACTACACCTGTTGGCACCAGAAGGTAGTCCATAGCCACCTCCTACTGTAAGTGCATGCGCTTGAGGGTAAGCAAATACGGGGGACCGGAAAATAAGAAGGAAGCACCTTTTGAGCATGGGTGGCCAAGTTCAAACTGGTGCGGGGTGGAAACCCCTGGGATACCGGCCTGAGGAGCAGGGAGCCAATATGGATAAGGGGCATTATATTGGCCAGGGGTGGTGGAGGTGTAGAGGTAACAGGAAAGGGGAGGATTATGTGCGTGTGAGAAAAATAGGGCGAGGCGGCTGGGGCGTGCGTATCTTGGGGGGCATTATGGAAGGAAGACTCCCTAGGAGTGGGGCTGAGGAGGCACCGAGGTAGCAACTGGCAGAGAAAAAGGTGGGGGAGCAGCGCGAGGGGCTGGGCAGAGCAAGCGCGAGAGGGAGGTGACCGTTGGCGGGGGGAGAGAAGCGCGAGGGGCTGGGCACAGCGAGCGTAGAGAACGAGGGGGTAGAGGGAGCGCAAGGCAACGCTGGGCGGAGGGAGGTGACCGTTGGCGGGGGGAGAGAAGCGCGAGGGGCTGGGCACAGCGAGCGTAGAGAACGAGGGGGTAGAGGGAGCGCAAGGCAACGCTGGGCGGAGGGAGGTGACCGTTGGCGGGGGGAGAGAA